TCTTTCTTTTCTGTCTTCTTCTCCCTCGTGTTGCATACATAACATTTACATTTACATAAACATAAATAAGCGCAGGAAGTAAGTTCTTTTCTTTCTTTTATTAAAAGAAAAAGAGACGAGGAAAACTCTTCTTTGCCTTTGCCCGAACTCTTCTTTCTTTGTTCTTGTTTCTGGCATTCATTCTTCCCTAATCCTTCCTCAGTCTCAAATTTCTCTCATCGATCGATTGATCTCGCATCGCATCGTATCTGGGATTCTGTTCTGGATTACAGTTATTTTCTCCTTCTCTCTTCGGGAATCGGAATTATTCCCCACCCACCCAAACGGAAACAACACTCAGATTAAACAGACACTAGGAAGAAAAGAAAACCCTTACCTTCACAATTTGGATCCGCCTCGATCGAAATTCCAACTTGTACGAGAGAGAGAGAGGTAAATTAAGCTCCGTAGCTCCAAATGTTAGTTTCTTTCTATAACTTTCTTCTTATTTGTTTGTTTATTTATTTGTTTGTTAAATGTATTTATGATTTCATGTTGTGATTCCTGATCTATCGAATCGAAATGATAATCATTATTAATTATTTTTATTTCATCCGAAACCAGAAACCGCCAAACCGGGATTGATTGATTATTGATGAGATGTGATTGTGCTTTGTTTGACGTTGTAATCAACATTCCGCCACGGCTCCCTACCTCCTTACATGATACATGTTATTTTTTCACTTTTGTATCATATCATATAGAATTACATCTGTCAGATTGTCTGTAATTGTGAAATACGATTGATTAATTGATTGATTGTATTCATATTTCAAACACCCAGCTGCGAGACATTGGGAATTCCTCAAGCGTTTCTCTTGCTAATCGCGCTCTATATGTGATTGTATTCTACTTGTGCCAGGTTCAGTAAGTAATATTGGTTCGCAACTTGACATCTCAACTGCATGCAGCCACGGCTTCAAATCTCTTTCTAATCCATGGGGGAGTGGGTCGTTGGAGCTTTCATTAACCTTTTTGGCAGCATTGCCATCAACTTTGGAACTAACCTTCTCAAATTGGGGCATAACGAGGTTTATTCTCCGTACTCTATTACTTTGGGTGGCTGTCTTGTGTGTATTTGCTCATTGGCTTCTTCTTGTCGAACCATTATGAATTGTGATTGTGTAACAGTCTTTAGGCAAATTTATAACCTTCCACTTGTTATTGTGATGACTTTCCCGTTAGTTTTCTATCTGTTCCACTAGTTTTTGTACATTTAGTAGGGTGTGTATGCTTTCTCCTCTTTTTAGCACTTCTACTCTAATTGTTACCGCACATTATTGCTTGAACATCAACATGCGGCTTGCCAAGCAACAATACAAACCACACCTTTCCTTCTTCGATGCAAATCCTCATTAATTAGATCTTTACGTTTCAAAGTTTTCATTTGATGTATGCGAAAACTTCTACATTTCATGCGTTTCCAATTCTTGTATGCTGTCTAGTCTGAAAATGCAAATTTCAGCCACCTGTGTTCCTTCTGCAGCAATTCAATGCTGGTAAATGTATTTATACCATGATGCAAGTGTCAGAATGTTTATTTCTGTTTTGGCAGAGAGAGAGACATTCAATACTAGAAAGTGATGGAGGAAATGGAAAGCTTCCTTTGAAGCCTATTATACAATATCAGACATGGAGAATTGGTACAGTTCTCTCTCTCAGTGCTTCATCTGTTCTAACGGTTTTGGACATTCTAGTTTGTACAGTGGATTACGACACAGGACTTAAAATAATATAGCTTTCCTCATATACAGGCTTTTTATTTTTCGCTCTTGGTAATTGCCTAAATTTCGTATCCTTCGGATATGCTGCTCAGGTCAGTATAAACTATATTTTGTTAGCCTTGTTATTTGAATCCACAAAGTAGGATTAGTACTTATAAATACTCAGATTTCAACATCTGCAACATGCTTCAACACATATCTGTATGAGTTTGTTATTTCTAATTAGTTTTGTTTTCTTGTATCCTTCTGTGCAGTCACTTCTTGCGGCACTGGGTTCTGTTCAGTTTGTATCCAACATTGCCTTTGCTTACTTTGTGTTAAACAAAATGGTGACTGTTAAGTACGTTATTATCTGAAGTGAGAATAAATTTTCATAACCGTAATGCTGTCTGGACATCCATTTTACACATATTTCTAAGTACATCTCTATGTATTAAAACTGCTGTCTTTTGCAGGGTAATGGTTGCCACAGCCTTTATCGTTCTTGGGAATATTTTTCTCGTTGCTTTTGGCAACCACCAGTCACCTGGTACATGATTCATTTTCAAGTCATTATGTCTTGCAGTTTCATTTAGTGTTTGTTTTGTGCCAATCCCTGAATAGCTGATCAATTGTTCTCCTGTATTACTCTTACCTGTGGCAAGAAGTAACCATCCCAAACGCATCTCTTCCCCCCACCCCCTAAAAACACACATACACAAGTTCAACACTCTTCCCTGCAAACATTGTATACAACAGCCTTATCACATCGAACCCCATGTGTGCTGGTCACATGACTGGTTATTGTGAGAGGGCCATAGTATACAACGGTTGCGCAAAAGACCTTCTCCACAAAAGCAAAAGTAATGGACTTCATCTATGGTTTAATTGTTTTTGTTACAGTATACACACCTGAGCAGCTGGCCGAGAAATACAGCAATATTGCATTCCTTTTTTACTGTATGATTTGGTTTTAGTTGTTGCCTTGCATCACTCCATTTACAGGTGAGAATTAAATGATGAATTCTTCCGTCTTATTGGTTGGCTCCAACAAATTTCTTTTACATCAGTTTCTGGATATACAGGAGAGGAGAACTTCTGCATGCTGTTTCTGGCCAGGAACTGAGACCCTACTGGCATATGCTGCTTCCTTTTTCCTATGCTATAGTTTCAGGTGCTGTTGGATCATTCTCAGTGCTGTTTGCAAAATCTCTGTAAGTTAGCTTTCCAAGAGAGTTTTCTTTGTGTAATGCAAGTGGTGCAATCATGCAATTCCCTTCTGTTTCTAATTCCTCTGTTTTTTCTTGGCAGATCTAACCTGCTACGTTTGGCCTTGTCTAGTAGTTATCAGTTACATAGCTGGTTCACATACTCCATGCTCCTTTTATTTCTAAGTACAGCTGGATTTTGGGTATCAGTTATTGCAGAATTAAATTTAGATTACTTGGTTTACAAATTTCTGCAATGGCATGCTATGGTGCTTTATTTAGCTTTTATATATTAATACCTTTCTGCTTCTACTTCTGCAGATGGCTCGGTTGAATGAAGGATTATCCTTTTTCGATGCAATTCTTATTGTTCCTATGTTTCAAATTGCTTGGACATTCTTTTCCATTTGTACAGGATTTGTATATTTTCAAGAATACCAGGTTCTCTCTCTCCCCACCAAACCCCTCCCCTCCCCCCCCCCCCCCCCCCCAAAAAAAAAAAATCTGAGGTCATGTGGAAAGCTTATTTGTTGTGCTCAAAACAGGTATTGGATACACTAAGGACAACAATGTTCATACTGGGAATGATGTCCGTGTTCGTAGGCATTACTTTGCTGGCACCTGATGATTCCAAAGGTATTTGATTGATATTTTAAAATTTTAAGTAGGCAGAATATCAAGACGTGAACTTTTTAAATTTCAGGTGCTGAAGTCAAAGATAATCCATCTTTAGTTTCTGTGGTGTCTTCAAGCATTTCAAAAGACGTGGGCAGGTACAATACATTCTTTTATGCAACTTTATGATTTCAATGTTGTAGCATATTGATAGCAATGCTGGAGTGGAATGACATTGTTTTAATTAAGAAAAATGTTGTAGCATATGCTTTCACATTTGAGCTGGATGAGTATTCTGTTTGTTTGTCAATTTCACCACTGTTTGACACCTGAGTAAGTTTTCCAGGTTAGCTGTTTCATCTGAAGACGTACAAACTAGAGATGCGAAATCATTTGTGCAAGGAATCCTGGTGAAGATTTCAGATGCAATAGTGAAGGCAAAGGTGATCTAAACTGGCTTGTTGAACTTACTGAGATAGAATCCTGGTATTGACTTTTAATTCTCTGAACTTGGATCCTTTTGCAGACTGCTTGTGCATTGGCACTGGGATTTGGAGAGGATTCTATTAATGCATCTGCGGTCCTTGTGATGCCTATGGTGTCATCAAAGATAACGGGCTTTAGAGGAAATGGGTTTGACCGTGCCAAGATTTTCTCCATGAGAAATATTGGTTGGACTAAGATCTCTATGGATGAAGATGCTACAAAAATGCTGGAGACAAGCCCGGTGCTTCCCGAGAGCCCGTGATAGGAGTAGTAAATTGCATTAAATTGCTTCGTAGGACGGAATTGTATTCATTTAATTGTCTTTTGTAGAAATAAAAATGTTTAGGACTCATTGTATTGTGCATTGATGTTCTCTTAACAAGGTGTAATTTGTCACGTTATTGTATATTGTTTGCTAATATATTTGAAAGAAAGCTTAACCGATCGAGATGTGTTTGTGCGCATGTGAAATTTGGGTGTGATTCGTAAGAGTATGTGGATAGGCTGTTTACAACAACTCTATTTGGGTGTGATTCGTAGGAGTTTATGGATAGGCTGTTTACAACAACTCTTTCTTCCTCTGCTCGTTTGTTATTTTATTCAACCAACTATAGTCACCTCATGCCTTCAAATGAAACTAAAACAAATTAAATATGATCTCGTTCAAGCTCGATTCAAGGCCTTTGTTTGGTGTCTAAGATTGGATTGAAATAGATAGAACTTTGAAACGTTGACCAACTCTTCTTCTCTTCAATTTAGACAATATTGATATCTGTAGGTTGACATTCAATTTTTCTTTGAGAAATTAGAATGCCAATTCAATCCTTAACATCAAACAACACTACCTAACAGGAGACTGGGTCACACTTTCGCTACTAGACGGTGATAGGTGGATTTGGCAAATTGGCTGTGAATGAATACTTGCAGAAATAAGCAACCGAAAATGGAACGGCTTGAGATTCTAAGGGACCAAGTGGAAAATATAAAATATCGCGAATCGGGGGATACCCCGTACCGGGCACCCGGTGCTTGAAAATCTAACTAACTTACAACTACCCGCGCGTACGATATAATTTTTTTTATTAATTAAATAAAAAGAAGAAAATACAGCGGCAGGCAGGGCACTGGGCACCCAAATACCAGATCCAACAACCGAGCCAAGGAGGACGACCACGGCGGCGACAACGATATCATCCCTCTTAATTATCGAACGAAACGAAGAACATCATCAGGTAAAGGCCTAAGAGCTGTAGCTCATCACTTTATGCTTACGCACGCCTTACAAATTCTGTACGCGGAATTTCAAGATGGACGAATCATTCAAGATTCAAACTTGTTCGACGTTCTTTCTGATTGCCCTTGAATTTATTACCCCAATTGATTTGATATTTCGATTGAGCACTAAAAAACTCGTTTTTTCGCTGTTCGCCTTCCAATTCCAATTCCAATTCCATGTTCGTAATCAGTTTCCAATTATCTATCGTGTTTGTTTGTTTGTTTGTCCGATTGATTGATTTTGAGTTTTGATCCAATCTGAATCTGCCATGTTTGAGTTTGTATCGTGTACTTTATTCAGTTCCTTCCTTTTTCTTTTCCTTCTTTTATTACATTTGGACATTATTATGTGGATAAGTATTAATCCGAATCCAAAAGAAAAGACCCACATTCAGCCATTTCTTACTACTCTTAATTACCATCACTCCAACAAAGTTCCAAGAACAATCTTACCCCGACCGTAATTGACAGGGCACATTCCGGCAAGCCTAGCAATAGCATAGCTTTACATTTATATATTGCAATTGTTTAAGACCAATCTTCTTACCCGCAATTAAGAAATATGCCATATCTTTGATTATTGGTTGTGAATTCACTTTTGTTGAAGGGTTGTAAATTCTTGTTGGCTTTTCAAACTAGGCTACTCAGCTTATAAGCTCATTCTGGTACTTGTTTTCAGTGTGAAGAATTTGAAATAGACTAGTTTATGATGAACGCGACTCACAGTGTGGGCGAATGTTCTAGCTCAACTTCCTTGAGCAGCCAACAGGATGTTGAGGATGACCGCATGATTGCTGCTGTACTATCAGAAGAATATGCTAAGTTAGATGGTGCAGTTGCTAGACGCCTTTCCAACCTGGCACCTGTTCCTGTAATGGAAATTTCCTTCCCCCCCCCCCCCCTCCCCCCAGTTCACTCTTTTTGTTCATAGCTTTATATCTGATAGTATTATTATCTTTTCAAAATTCCAGCATGTTCCACGGATAAATTCCTACATCCCCAACATAAGTGATGCTGGTTTGGATCACCAACGCCTTCTCCAGAGGTATGTTTATGCTTCTGAATAAAAATATGCATTGGTTATTTTGTGGTTGACAACTTTCCTAAAAGGTATTAAGGTAGCCCTTTTTATCATTTGCCCCCTTTCTTTTTGGTTGATGATGGGAATAATACAGGTAAAACAAAATGCATATTTCAAAGGGAACAAAAAAAATGCAAGCACACACTTGGAAATGGCTGGAGGTATTGGCAAACCTCACTCTGGATATGCATGCTTTGCAAGTTGCAATGCATGGAAAACCACATGAATCCTGAAAATGATAGTAGCACATATGATGCATTGAGGCTAATATTTCATTGCCATGTTTGTTGGGGTGTTGGACCTGTTGGTATTATACGAGGAGAGGTAGTTTTCCTTGGGTGTGGGTTGATGGTTGTACACAAATTACGCTTGTATGACAATACTCAGAACTATAACAACATGTTTAGCATGTGGATGAATTCTTGATGGACTATAAGTAGATATCGGTTTTGTATTCTCGTACTTCTGTTTAACTTCTTCTTGGGTGATAGTTTAGTGAATTTCCTTTTTACTTCCTTGCAGGTTACATGTCTATGGTTTATATGAAGTAAAGGTTTCTGGTGATGGGAATTGTCAGGTATCTGCAATACTGAGAATCCAAAGTCCTAGGTATGCCATCTTTTGATTTATATTGATTCCTTTTCTCATTGTTTTGCAGTTTCGTGCACTTTCAGAACAGATGTACAAGTCTCCAGAGTATCACAAACATGTTCGGAAAGAGATTGTGAAGCAGGTAGAGTGTACATGAAGTAACCAATTGCTATAGGAGGAACAAAATTTAGATGGCTAGAAATTGGACTGGAGATCATTTGAAATGGAATGAAGGATCAATTAAGGAGATAATGAAAACTATTACCACTGCAATATTTTGATTAAAGTAAACCTCCATCCACCATTTGCTACCTCCGCAGTCACTACCCTTACCACTCATGTAACCATTGGATGGTATAATGCCAATAGCTACTTGTCTTTGTTCTCAGAACTACTGCTTCCTGTGCTCTCTACAAAGAAAAATTATCATGACCAGAATCTATAGTGACCTTTCAGTTCCACATTGTCTCATTTTCAACATTTTTTTACCAGCTCTTTGATTAGTTTAAAGGGGAACAAAAAAGTGAATGCCTTTTTTGAGTATGCTTATCGTGCACTACTTTTCCTGTTTCCAGCTCAAAGACCATCGTTCTTTGTATGAAGGCTATGTCCCTATGAAGTACAAGCGCTATCACAAGAAAATGGCAAAGTATGTCAAATTGTTTAGGATCATTAGTTAGTTCGGTTATTTGATCAACAAGCTTCTGTTTATATGTATCTGGCCTGGTTTCATCTATTTTTTGGTGCAGCAGGTTTGTATTCACTTTTAGTTTTCCACATGATGCAGATCCGGTGAATGGGGAGATCATGTTACTTTACAAGCAGCAGCTGACAAGGTCTTTTACATTTGTCCCAATGGATCTGAATTTCTTTCTGTAGATTATAGATACTTGTTCTAGGTTAATGGGATATAATATAATATATATATATATATATATATGTTTATGTGTGTGTGTGTGTGTGTGTGTGTGTGTGTGTGTATCATATCTTACCAAAATAATATAATATCGGCGATTTATCTTAGCTTTATTTAATATATTTATTGATGATGGCATCAAGACCTTTTCACTTTAACTGGAAATATTTCTCCATGAACTTGAAATGGAACTTGATATTGAATATTTAGTGGCAAATAAAAAAAATTATTGAAAAATAATGCAATAGTACAAATTTTAGTAGATAATTTTTTTGTAGAAATAAATAAATATATACCAGTGCTCACAGCTTGGAAAGTGTCTTGTTGGCATAGTGTTGTGTGCAATTCTTCTCTCGTAGTTTATGATGTTTTGTAATCTTGTTTGAATGCAGTTTGCAGCAAAGATTTGCCTTTTGACATCATTCAGAGATACTTGCTTTATTGAAATTATGCCCCAGTACGAGCCACCAAAACGTGGTAGACGGAACTATCTTTGCTCTTTTACGCTCATCCAAATGAAAAAAAAAAAATCTGAAGAGATTCTTTAGTCTCGTAGTTGTAGGTTTAGATGAAAAATTGTCTTGCAAAATGCTATAGGACAATTTCAGATTTTAACGTTCTTATTTTTCCTTCTAAATAATGCAGAGTTGTGGCTGAGTTTTTGGTCGGAGGTTCATTACAATTCATTATATGAAATCCGAGGTGTTTTTCTTTTGTTTATTTTTTGTGTTTTTGTTTGATTTAAATCAGCAAGAGACTTATTTTATAGGTGTCAAATGCAGTACAAGGAGAGAGTTTGGTTAATATCTTAGTTGCGTGCCTTGTTTGCAGACATGCCAATTCAACAGAAGCCAAGGAGGAAACACTGGTTGTTCTAGGCTTCTAGCACTCGGGATGTTCAAAGATTTTAGTACTGTGCATATGTTCTCTAGATGTTGCCTTTTTCATTGTTTTTCGATTTTACAATTTAATTCAGTTACACAGTTACATGCTTATATATTATTATATATACAACACTAGAGTTTTGACGATTACTGCTGTGCTGTCTGATGGTTTGTACTTCTAGTGTTTCAAGATTTTATTATTTGAATTGCTCAATTCTTTTGCAAGACCAAAAACGGACGGATTGTTCCTTCCTCTTTAGTTTTCTGGTATTTATGGATTATCGATGTGAAATTACTAAGATGAATCTATTATATATTTTTTCGCCAATTGTTTTGTTAGATCCCCTTGGCTTTGTTAGTGTGTAATAAGTTGTGTAGATATTAACAAGGGTGTGTGGGAGGTAAAATGAGGGGTGTGGATAACACCACACTTTTGCATAAACCAAACAAGAGACTGGTACGTGAAGGAATGGATATGAGATGAATAATTTCCTAGCTAACTTATTCGTATACCTGGATTTTTCGTTTATTGGTTGTTAGCTCATGATATGACATGATGTGGTTTTTTTTGTTTATTGGTTGTTAATGCATGATATGACATGAATGTGAATGATAGTTATTCTTTCCTTGTAAGTAAACAGGCTCATAAATATCCCAATTCTCATTTCCTAGCATTTCTAAATATGGGAATGAGGGTTTCGTTACCACTCCTTGGGAATGGAGATTAATTGGAGTTGCATATCCAAGCAATTCATCACGCGAACCATATGAGACCACGTTAGGTATGAAGTATGAACTCTGAAAGGGAGTTGGTAGAAGTACAAGGTTGATCATTTAGTTTCAAATATTAGTGCGAGTTATGCTATAGCAATTGTTATATGTATAGTCCCCATCGCAACAGATATACATATATGTAATGTTATGTATATAACCAAAAAATAATAATCAAGGGATCGACAGCACTTGCTTTCAAGTTTAAATGACTTGTTCACCTTGATCTACATACATCAAGACTCATCTTGCAAAATGAAAAGAAGATGAAAATGGTTTCAACAAGATTCTCATTATTAATCAGAAAAGAAGAATAAAAGAAAAAGAAAGAAAAGTAGAAATTATAAACGCAGAACGGTAAAAGAAAACCAAAAAACATGGATCTGGCCGCCGGGAATGACAAGTTGGAGGAGGAGGAGGAGCTAATTTGAATTTTGAAATGATGATCACTTCCAGTTGTTGGCGACAATGTCAGCCAAATCAACAACCCTTTGGGAGTAACCCCACTCGTTGTCGTACCAAGCAATGACCTTGACCATGTCATCGCCCATTACCATTGTCAATGAAGAGTCGACTGTGGAGGAGACATCTGTGCACCTAAAGTCGACTGAGACAAGGGGCTCGTCACAAACAGAAAGGATACCTGCGAGCTCCTTCTCGGCGCTGTCTCTGAAAGCAGCGTTCACCTCTTCTGCAAAGGTCTTCTTAGTTACTTGGACAACAAGGTCCACCACCGACACGTTTGGGGTGGGCACACGCAGGGCAATGCCATTTAGCTTGCCCTTCAGACTTGGAAGGACTAGGGCCACGGCCTTTGCTGCACCAGTGGAGGTGGGAACGATGTTGAGAGCAGCAGCCCGTGCACGCCTTAGGTCGCGATGGCTGGCATCAAGTAGCCTCTGGTCACCAGTGTAGGAATGCGTGGTAGTCATGGTGCCCTTGATGATGCCTGCAGTATAAAATAACATCCTTGTAAGAAACTGACATGTATGCGTACGAACTACGTACTAGGTACACGCACAACACTTGAACAAATTTGGTCATGAAGGAATCTGGTGAAAGAAAGAAAATGTACAAGTAAAAGATGAGAAAAATGTCATTACCAAACTTCTGGTCAAGGACCTTGACGAAGGGGGCAAGGCAGTTGGTGGTGCAAGAAGCATTGCTAATGATGGTTTCATCGGGGCTGTATGCATCAGCATTGACTCCGACCACATAGGTGGGGATGTCACCCTTTCCAGGGGCAGTGATAAGCACCTTCTTGGCCCCTGCCAGGAGGTGCTTGCCTGCGCCCTCCCTATCGACAAACACACCAGTCCCTTCAATCACCAGATCGATCTCCAAATCCCTGCCATGCAACCGTGGAAAAATTAAAACATAATCAATCGATCATATGTATATGCATGTACATGTACATGTAGGGGTGTGTGTGTGTATTAATTAATAAAGCTATAACGCATTAAGCCAGCTTACTTCCAGGGCAGGTCTATGGGGTTGCGGCTAGACACGACCTTGATGATCTTGCCATCAACGGAGAGGCCATTATCGCCAACGGGCTTGACATCAGCATCAAAGATACCGAGGGTAGAGTCGTACTTGAGGAGGTGCGATGCCTGCTTGACGCCTCCAGTGTCGTTGATGGCAATGACATCAAGAGGGGAGTCCTTGCGTCCATGCCAGCACCTCAAGAAGTTCCTTCCAATTCTTCCAAATCCATTTATAGCCACCTTTAGCTTCGCCTCCGTTACTCCTTTTTTGTATCCTCCGTTGCTTCCCACCTTCCCAATTTAAAATTTACAAATCCACATTACACCGTCACATTTACAATCATACATTTAAATACGAGATAATATACATTTTTCAAAGTGAGCAATTATGCCCTCACTTGAAATGAAATCAGTTATTATCAAAAGAGTAAAGTAGTCTAATTGTGTAAGTTATAGAATAAATTTTTGTTTTTATATATAAAATTAAGAATGAAAAGAAATTAAAGTAATACGAGACAACATATACACACAATAGAGAAACAGAAAAAAAAAAAAAAAACCACAAACTCACATTTGCAAGTTGCATTTGGATTTTGGAGAGCTGGTTACTAAGAGCTCGTTTGAAAATACTTTTAAAATAGTGAAAAGCATTTATGGTGAAAATGTTTTTAGAACAAATTCTTAATAAAAATACAAGTGATCCTGGAAAAGCACTTAAATGTTTCATACAAGAAGCATAAGCACAAGAATTGAACGAAGCATTTATGGTGAAAATGTTTTTGAACCTCACAATAGGCTGGCAGTAACGTGGTTCAAACTCGCATTTCACGAAAATCAAACCCAAAACCTTTGACTTACAAGTGAAGAGAAATATCATTATACCGTAGCTAGTAGGAAGTGGCTACTCCCTGGTTGTTTAGTTATGAGATTTGATAACCACAACTGGTATTTCCTTAATTGTTATGATCGATCGATGATCAAGGAAACGTTATTTACTGATACGATTACGTATGTACGTAGGAAAAGACACGGACGGTAGGAAATTAAAGACAAAGAAATCATAGTAGTAGTAGTAGTAGTGGTACTCACAGAAGAGGTCTGGAAGGCAATGACTGAGAATAAATCGTCTGAGGTCTTCCTTCCGAAAGGAAGGCAAGCTGATGAGGTACGGAGACCTGAGAATTCTGCAAATCCCTTTCCATTGGCCTGCAAATTTTAATTTTAATTATTTTGAGCATCGTGTGTATGTGTATAGATAACACAAGTTAAACAAACACTAACTAGCTATAATTTTTAGTGATCAGTTTAACTAATTAACGTACGGTACTCTGCATGCGCGCTTAACTAGTTTGATTAATCAGCAAGCCTAGTACTCCTGTATATGTGCTTGTATGCATATGTATATATATTAGAAGTGTATATCTAGCATGCAACACAATATCCATACAGGTCTGAGCGAGCAAATTAAGAAGCATAAGGTAATTGAAGCAAGAAAACGAGAAGGTAGCTGCATATATGAACCTGAAGAGATGGTTTGGCCACGGAAAGAATAGCCGAAGCCATTCTCGGAGCGGAGTGGAGCTAGCTAGGCACTAACTAGCTCAGGGCAGGGTGGGTGGGAGGGAGGATATAGCTAAGCAGTGGTAAGGAGGGAAGGAAGGAAGGCAGTCACAAAATTCACAAGGTCGTTATATATTCATTATGAATGATTGAGATAAAACCAAGTTGATGAGATGAGGTACTAGTGTAGTGTGTCGTTGGAAGGGAGTGACTGAAATAAAACCAAGAGGATTAGAGGAGAGGAGAGGATGAGATTATGGATAGAGCCTATCATTCAACGAATGGCTCTCGTTTAAAGCTGTGTTTTCTGTCCCCCTCTCTCTACTCTCTCTCTCTCTCCCCTACTCCACTCCTGTTCCTATTCCTGCATTTCCTCAATCTATACACATACCAATTCTCTTTTCGACCAAAAAAGAAAAATGCATATACCAATTCTCCTACCATCATCACATTCACATCTCCCCCTGCCCGATCACATTCACATCTTCCTAAAGAGATTTTTCAGTGTGACCGATACACGGAGTGATACACCACATGCTATTAAACAAATATGAGGATATGTGTGCTAAAAAGTTAATAACTTAAAAAATAAAATTTTCTATCATTCCTATTAAAACACGTAGTGTATCATTTGTGTTCCCGTCACAACAAAAAATTTCTCCTCCCCTGCCTGTTCAAAGCTTTGTGTTTTGGGTCCCCTTTGGGCCTGAGCCTCATTCTCTTAGTGGGTCAACTTTCATCTAACAATATGAAATTCCAAGCGAGGTTTTAGAGCTTCTGCCATTCACTAGTCCCATTTTTAGTACGCACGTGTGATGCATTGACTTGATTTTATTACAGTTAGTCGGTATTATGATTTAGTATAGACATGAATGAGGAAATCATTATTTATTGGTACCAAGTTTGATACCAAATTTGTAAACGCCCCTTTCTAGTAATATAAACTTATTGAGGCACTGTTGTATTATAAAAGGCATGACCTACTTTATTTGATACTTTAATGCATATAAGGGTTGAGACTTCAAATTATAATACTAAAAGTTCATCCATTTATTATTCACAATTGATATCGTGACAATGCAGTTCTTGATACTGAGATTTATAGTGGCCTAAATTATTGGTTTCATGTCAAAAGAAACAAGTATTTTCAATTTTTTATATTTTAAATTTGAGAGTTTCCTTCTTCCTTCAATAATTGCAAAGGCAATAAAATAAAAATAACAAATCCCATACAACAAGAGAAATAGAACCTTAATAATTCGGAAATTTTGTTATGCATCATTCTCATCTTAGAGGAAATATATATAGGAATAAAATGGAGCGCAATACAAGGAATTTGAAATACGAGGGGAAACCAAGCTTCCGTTTGGTATTCAACTCAAATCCAGATTTTTAA